CATTTGTGGTATCCATGAAAGAAATAGGTAACCATTCATTATTAATAGTCCTCTTTATTTCTCCAAATGTCTCTCTTGGGCAGTGCTGCTTAAGGGATATAAATGTACCAGTGGGAATTAGAAATTATAGGCTGGGCTCCACTCACTGACTGAACTAGCTCAACCTCCTCCGGGGGCCGAGATGGTGTTGTGAAGACAAGGTTAGGGTGAGACAGCACGTGTTAAAGAAGTGAGATGAATGGAGCTCATCCATATACAGCCACTCACTCTCTTCTACGTTGTAGTCACACACACACACACACACACACACACACACACACACACACACCTCCCTACTCTCTCTTTCTGACCCCCTCTTGATTTCTCTCGCCCTCAATTTCTCTCTCTCCCCCAAATACTTTTGCACTCATGTTACTATAGACACAGAGAAAGGAACCTGGGCATGCATATCCCAACTGGAAAAGGAAGGTTCTGAGCATAGAGTAGACTCCCCTGCTGATGGAGTCCAGGACTTGCAGCTTCCATCATCTCTTGGCTTCTGAAGTGATGAGGTTGAGTGAGAGAGTAAGACTCAAACTTGGAGCAGATTCAAGGTTTCCCCAGTGCCTAGCCATCACTCCTTTGGCCAAGTGGTCCTTGTGAAGCTCTATTTTGTATACACACTGTGATGGACCCTGGGAGTACAACCATGAATACAATGGACCCATTGTTTAGCAATTCTTCCCTCTCATGAGGATCTGTGGAGTACCTGCTTACTGAGAGGCATTGGGTTACTTTCCTACTCAGGAACATTTAGTATTTAGGAATGTCACAATTATGCTTCAGTTGTTATTCCCCTCTAAATGCTTCTTCTCAACCTATTCTTACAATCTCTGAACATTGTGGTCCATATTTTCCAGTCCACTAACCATATGCAAGCCTTAAGTTTCCCTATACTGTCAGGTTCACATAGCACTCCTCTATTTAAGCGGGCTGTCTTTGTGAATGAAAATAATGTTATGATTATGAACCACTTAACCCTGGTATCATCAGCTCTGTTGTCAAACCAATTAATAGGCTACAGATCATTCAGACAATAGCAATGTATCTAGTTGGATATCCCATTTCAGTGATTATTTTATCTAGATGACATTCTTACTGTTTTTAGTTGAAACTAAGCAGTTAAGTCCACTATATATACATATATAGTCTAGTTATAGACTAGATCTAGATCTTGTGTTTCTTTTATTATGATCATAATGCAAACATACCATAATATATTGACTTGGTTAAAAAGATCCAGCATGTCATCTCCCACCTGTACATTTATAGCCAAAGCTATAAAGATGGAGGAGGAGTATGAACTAAGTGAGCGAAAGATAGATGTAACTATGAAGGTAAAGAAAAAATTATAAAAACAAAATAAGAATCATTAGAAACTCAAATATGAAAGTTTAGAATTAGATGTACCCACATTAAAATGTAGGACTATGGAAACCTTTGAATAAATTATTTAAAATTCTTCCCCACAACATCATCCAAAAAATGAAGGGTATTTGAGAGCTGAAAAATAGTTAACATTTATTAAGTACTTGCTATCTACTGGCCACTGTTTTAAATGGCTTTACAGGTTTAAACTCATGTATTCATTGTACAGTCCTGTAAGCAGGGATTTATTTTTTCATATTATTTGAGATTTGTGTTTCAAATGAGAAAAACTAGCAATGCAGAGGTTAAATTCATTGCCCAAGATCACAGCACTCATAAGAATAAACCTGCATTTCAAACCCAGGTAGCTTAGCTCCTGGAGAGGTCAGAAGAGTGTTCTCAACTAGACCTTGCCAATAGCATTACTGAGATGGAGGGTAATATCACATCCAAATGAACACAGACCTTTCAGGTTTCGGTTGACAACTCATCATTAATTCTATCAGCTAAAATCTGTTTCATTGAAACAGATGTACAAATGTTTCATTGAAAGAATACATGATAAATATTAAATCCATCAGATTGACAAGAACACAAGAATTAGAGGATTCTGTAGGATGTTTTTCTCAGTCATAGTGAACAGGAAGAAGGGAACAATTCCTATAACTCTTACCAATGGCCTATATATTTTTGCCAAAACTGCAGAGATGCTCATACCATCACAGAATTTCCTACCTGTAATGAGAACAAAATTTGTGCAGGTATAATGACAGGGGATTCTTTTAGACCTGCCTATGAAGTCTTCTCTGCAGTCTGTCAAATCCCAAATGATGGATTGAACTGTCAGAATATTTTCAATGAAAACAGTGCTTAACACTCAACTATAAGTTCTGGCATTCCTTCTTTTTTTTTTTTTATTGCCCTTGAACCCAAAGAGAAATATCTTTGTACTACTTTGAACTGAGTAGGTAAAAAGATATTTTAAGCTGAACAATTTGTGCCTTACCATTGGTTTCCACCCTGATCCTCTCCCATCTTGGAGGTTATGTCTCTATGGTGTACCAGCACTACCCTGCCCAGTAACAATGAAATTGGTTGTTTAAGTACTCATTGTGAATATCTGGTGAAAAGCCCTAAATAACTAGATAAACAGTACAGCTGCCAACCTAAAGTAATCTTACACTCCGGGGGTGAGTGGCCCAGGAAATTTGCTCTTTGTCATTTTGACTTGGGTTTGAGAATGGACCTGGGCTACATTCCAGCACAAAGAGCCATTCACTTCCAAAGACTCCTAAATTGTCCCAAGGAGCTCATTCTGGCAGTGGATTATTTGTGTTTGGCTGGGAATCCTAATAGCAAAAGCTGTCTGCTCTGGCAAGCAGGGCCATGGAAGGACTTAGAATTACCAACCCCAGTGTTTTTTCTTGATGAGGTCATTTTTCAGAAAAGCAATCCCCGGCTCTCCTCTAAAAAGTGAACACTGCAGGAGCACTGTGGAGGTAGCTTTCTTGAGTTCATAAATAAAGTCCCATGGCATGGTGGACCTTTTTATGAATTAGAGGCAAATTTGAAACAAATGAGAATCAGCACTAGATTTTCCCAAAAGTCAGGCTGTCTTAACGGCATATTCCCCTCTTCCTGTACTAAGTAACAGTTATTGGTTGACAATGGTCAAGTAAATATATGGGGTTTAAAATTTAAAAATTCAGGGTGAAGAAGAATCCTGAAAGATATTTTTCCAAGGGGTATGGAATGAGTGTAGATACTCCAAGAGTCAGACTTGGTTTTTCTACACAACTGTTGATCCCTATTGTCTGACTCTCCCAGTAACAACCAGGAAGATCCAACTAAGACTTGGTTACCATTTGTTGGAAACTAATAAATAACATAGAACTGACTCTCTATAGATGTTCAAATGGTGGTGGAATGCACAGATGAAAGAATAACGCAGAATCAAGTGATAACCTCATTCATTATATTAGAGAACTCCCAACTCAGCACACAGGAAGATTCACACAAATGAAGGAATAAAATATTAGAATTTATATTTAATTTAACTGATTTGACTACCTATTTAACATTGCATTAAACTGCCACAGTGTTATACATATATAACTTAGCACAAATAACTAAATATGTAGAGCTTGCTTGCTCAAAAATATTTTTGCTGTTGGAGGATGTGATCAAAATCCTTTGAGTCCCGTTTCACTACATTATTGTCCCATAATTAGTCTTTCAGAGGTGTCAATGGAAGTCAATTTGATTTTTGAAAGAACAGAGCAGGTAGAATATGAATAGACTTCTACAATTGAAAGAAGTGGGGAGAGAAACACTAGCGCTAAATGTCAGATACTTCATCCTCGAAACAACCCTGCAAGGAGTTGTCTCCATTTTATAGATGATGAGACATATTGAGTTAGGAAGTGCTTCCTATGCTTCTATTTTCTGGAACAAATTAGAATTGGTATCATTTCTTCCTTATTTGGCTGAATTCACCAGTGAAATCATATGGGTCCATTTTAGAAGATTTTTGATTTTTTATTCAATTTTTTAATTATTATTTTTTTTTATATGTTTCTTTTACATTATTGCTCCTCTCAGGTGTAATCCCCATAGAATTCCTACACCCAGTCACCATCACCCTTTAAATGGATATAAGCCAATTCAGATTATCTGTTTTTTCCTTTTGGGAGGTTTTGTAGATTTTGTCTTTGAAGGAATTGCTCTGTCTCATCTCATTTATCAAATTTGTGGTTATAGAATTATTCATAGTATTTCTTTATTATGCCTTTATTGTGAGTGTGATAAGTAACAATGACCCATTTTTCATTTCTGATTTTAGTAATTTGTGTTTTCTTTCTTTCTGCTTAATCTGGCTAGGTATTTAGCAATTTTATTGATCTTTAAAAAATACATATATATGTTATCAAATGAACCTTGAAGCCACAATTCAAATGCAGCTAACAAAATATATATGAAATATATAACATGAGAGAGAGGTAGTTACTATAAACTGATAGCCAATTAAAATGATAGAAAGTTTCTGGGGTGCCTTTGTATATGAAGTGGACAGAGAGGGTCTCTGTGAGTAGACATGTGATAAAGGGAAAGAGTGAACCCTGGGGGTAACTGGAGAGGAAGCTGTCCAGATGGAAGCATCTGTAGTATAAAGACTCAGAGAGGCAGTGTGCCCAGTAAACAAGTTTTGCTGGAAACTATTAAATGAGGGGAAAATGTGGGAGAAAATAAATTATGTGGAAAAGGTGTCAACAGCATGATCATTTAGGGACTTGAAGATCAAGTTCAGAATTTAGATTGTGGGCTTGCTGAAGACAGGTGGATGTATCTGCATTGCTCTGAGCTTCTGGAGTTGCATCCATAGCTGTTAAAATCTGTGTTTTAGAAAGGGTCAATAGATCTGGCTTTCCACTGATAAAATATGCCTGTTAGCATTGTTGTATTTGAGGGAATTATAGAAAATTTAAGTGCAATTAAAAGCTATTTATCAATTTAATAAAATATAAATTATAATATAATAACAATAATATAAAGTCAGTAAGATCTCTGTGGTAATCTGATCTTTTCCCTCCTAGGATTTCCAAACTGTGTTACCTTCATTTGATCTCTTTGCAAAGTTTGGAAAATTATATTCAAAAGCTGGACAAATTGTATAAAGGTATGCATCTTGCTAGAAATTTTTCCAAAAAATAAATAACACTGAAAGATGATTGACTTAACTAGAAAGTATTTTTAAAACCATGACATAATAATGTTTATATACAATGCAACTCCATCTATTTCACTGATTCTAGTCTCAACATCCAAATACCAGATTTTTTTTCCTTCAAACCTCTTTTCCAAAATGGACTCAAAATACATTAAGAAATAAAACTGACAAACTGCGAAGTACCCTTTCTCTTTCAATTAATTAATGTTTCACACAAAGCAATGAAATATTTTGGTGTTTAAGAGTGAAACTATTTTTCAGTACTATGTTGATATGGTATAGTTAAAAATACTGTATTCGATATGTTTTTTTTGAAGTACAAGTTGTCTTTAGAGATCCCAAGAAACCAGTATATAGTCTCTGATTATCAACATTTACATTATAGAGAAGTTTAGAAGTATCCACATAAAATATAAGATTGCAAAATAAGCTCTTAATGGCCAAAGCGTTTTAGAATAGAGAAGTGATTACAATCAATGTGAGATTAATAGGAGTCTTTCTGGCATTTTCAGCCGAATGTAAGGGAGACCTTGGCTTCAGACAGCAGAGATCACTTGTAGGGAAAGAAGCAGGGATGGAACACCGCAGGAGAGAATTCCCTGAGCATCCTTCCCAGGGAAAAGCTCTCGCCCAGAGTGGATTCCAGGAACTTCTGTTCCTTAGATTTCTCATTAGTGTCTTCTTGGCCCAAATTACAATTGTGCATGCTTCAACTTGGGAGTCAGTGTGTTAAATGCAGAGAGCAATGTCTACCTTTTAACTACTCCAAAGCAATACATAAGGGGGACCATAAAATATTCTGAGCTAATCAAAAAACATATATAAGGTCAAGTGGCAGTGCAGTTTCAAATGTGTATAAAGTATCACTTCCTGATGGAGCATTTACTGAGTATTTGTGACATAATGTGAAGTAATGTAAATAAAATTTTCCATAGTCATGTGTGACTTCAGAATATTTAACTTAAAGGTGCACCTGGGGGCCTCCCTGGTGGGGCAGGGGGTTGAGCGCAGTCTGTGACACTGTCCGAGGCCTTTGCGGTGCGAGTTCAATCTCCGGCCGGCCAGGGAGCTACCCACGTGGCGCGACAGACCTCTCCTGTCTCACCTGCTGCTCCCCTCAGCAGTGTGTTTTGGTACATCTGCCTGTTCTGTTCCCTGCTCTCTCTGGTGAATCTTCTCACATACCCCCGCTACTCTGGCCTGTACCCCACTTCTAAAAAAAAACTTAAAAAAAAAGTGCACCTGTTTAGTGGTGAAAGCTGAAAGTAACGTCAGTCCTTGTTAATAAATGCTAAGTTAAAAAAATAAGGCAATACGCAACACTAGGAATTTTCATTTAAGATTATCTGTGTGTGGTATCACACATGTATAATGCACATGCATGTAGAAAAGCACATTCGCATACACATGTTTACATATTACATCTTTGGCATACATTCATGTGTTACAAAAATATTAATTGTAGATATATCTCTGGATAGTGAGGTCATGGATAGCTTTTTGGGGGATACATAGTGGTGTCCTCATTTTTTTTGAAAATTTTTTGATAGAATCAGACAAAAGCAAAGTGTAAAACACTCCAATAGAGATGACTTGCTCTTCTCTACCAGTTACAAAAGCATCTTGACTTTATTCTATTCAATCATAATAATTTACAATTATCTTGTTTTCATGAAGACAAAATAATTACTTGCTAAATTATTTATAAGAAAGACAAGGATGACTAACAAATGTTGCACATGACTTTTAATTAAAAAGAGTGCATATTCAGAGACACAAATATGTGACAGAAATGTTTACAAAATATTTGCTAACTCTTCTCTTGGATTTTTAACTGTGCTTTGAATTGAAAATATTATCAAAACATCATCTCCTCCTCCTCTTAGAAAGAAAAGCCATGTCTAGTGTTTAATTTGGATAAGTGAAGGGTAGCAGCCTTAACTGAGGTTCTCCTATTAAGATTTCATTTCACCAAATACAGGAAAGTGCTTCTGCTCTTTGTAAAGAATGCCAGGATGGGGACACATGCACCCCACTGTTGAATAAAGATGCCTAGTAATTTTTGAGAGCTATCTGTTTGATTGCTTCAGCTTCAAGGTAGTTCATCACTTCACTATAATTCACCTGACATTATCTCTCACACCCACACAACATTTTCTCATCAGTCCGATTAGAACCAGCGATGCCTTTATCAGATTAATCTTTCTTTCCTTTACCACATCTGAGCTTAGGATAAACACAGTCGACACCTACCCATTTTGATTAATGCACTAAGATTTTAGCCACTGAAATTGCCCAGCACAAATTAGATTTGAAACACACACAAATTTTAAGATCTAGTCTCTGATGAGGAGAACATGACTGTTTAATTCCTTTAATTTTTCTTTATAACTGGTCACTTTTGTAACCTTTGATAGTTTCCCAAAGGCAGTTTTGTCTAAATCAGAATGTACTATATCCTGCCAGGGTGCTTTGCTCTATTCATCTTTGCAGGCAGAAGAGTCTCTTTAAACATTAGAGTGAAGAAAATTAGCCCAATAAGGTGAAATCATTGGTTGTAATTTTATGAATTGGATCATATATCCCATTAAATCTGGCATGAATGTGAGTTTTCTTGCATTATGTGCAATTTTCTCAAATTCTTCTTTGCAAATGGGCTTTGGTCCAGTCTTTTTTTTTCTGCTAAAAAGTGGTTCAATTTTGAGGCCAAATGTGATGGTTTTAATTAAATTATTTCTTACATATGAAAAACTAGGTTTTTTCCTTTTCCATACATATTTGGCATATGAATGACTGAAATTGCTGAAGGAAAACAATAAATGTGAAAAATAAGTTTTCTTAGTACCTAAACCGGAAACAAGTGAAATTCTATGGTCTTTTTCCAAAGGAATAGGCCCTACCAATTGTATAAGGAGAAAGAAGGGGGGAGTCATAATTGGGCATATAGATGCTAAAAATGCCTGTTAGGGATTAAATTTTTAATTCAACAAGGAAAGCTATTATATCTTGTCATTCAGTGTAGTACTATGTGAATTTATGATCCTTTTCAGTTTAGTTTCTGTGAACTGGAAAAAAATATCAAGATATCATTAGTATCTTTCTTTGATTATATTATACTGTCCTTTAAAGTGCAGGAAACACTTTGCGATGTTTCTCCGTGACTGAGGCAGCTGGTGGGATACTCTGTGTCCCATGACACACAGTCAAGCTTGATTATCAGTTTCATCTTTGTTGGTGGAGATGGAGGTGAGAGAATAGGATAAATCCAGCAAGGAATAGGTCAGATCGGGAGTGTGGCCTCCCAGACTCTAATGAGCTAACTCTACATGAGGAAGATTTAAATAGAGAATTCAAGAACTCTTGTGTTATCATGGTTCTTTTTCTTCTTTCATTTGACTGTTTTGTTTTTTAGAAAATGAAAGAAGAAAAGAAGACAAATGTAAAATGAGGTTATGCTGGAATAGAAGACCCTCCTGGCCGGAATCCTGGTTTCAACCTGTACCTCTCATGAGTAACTTGACACAATTCTCTTAATTTCTGAGCATTTTTGCTTGCACTTTCTCTCTCTCTCTCTCTCTCTCTCTCTCTCTCTGAAGAAATTGCAACCATCTCTGCTTCATTCAACATCATCCTACAGAAAATACACTTAAACTGTATTTATTATTATGACTCAATAAACTATAATTTTTTACAGCAAACTGGTCATGAATGAGTTATAATGTGACTATATATATATATTTAGTGTATGAATAGTGGCAAGGAAATGGAAATAAGAGAAAAAATTGTTATTATCAGGTATTATATACAATAATAGAAGAGGAAAAATAATTACTTTTTGTCATAAACTATAAGAAATTGTCTAGGAGTTGCTAAATTCAGAACAGAAAGATTCCTTTGAAACATATCTTGAGTCTATTTCAAATTAAAAATTGAGCAGATCTTCTTTCAAGGTTCATTTACCTCAGTGAAAACTAATGAAAGAGAAAGCTGAGGTGAGATTTTAGAGAGTAAATAGTCTGGCCTCATATAATAGTCCTAGATCTACTAAGTCTTGTTCTATCTCTTCCCTGGTGATGTTTTTTTCAAAAAGTTATAATTATTTTGTAGTAATAGTAACCATTGTTTGCTTTTAGTGCATAATAATAACAAAAATGCTAGGATACTGAAATATTCTAATGCAGCTGCCAATGCTTCAAGTGTTTTGGGAACTCATTCTTTTAAAATACCTTTCAGGATGAGATTAAGAGCTATTAAATAGCCTTGCCATGTCGAAGTTGCCTGTCCTTGGAAATCTGGGAACAAAAGTAATTCTAAGTGACATCTGACTTCTCTGCTCAGAAAATTGTGAATTAGCCTGCCCTAGCCTGTGAGTTTCACGTGTAGTGATCTCTCTTTTGCTCTTTGTCTCCTTTTTCAAGTTCTATGACTACACCCAAGAAAAGTAATTCTTCCTCTTGATATAGTCTTGGGAACAACTAAGTGTTTCATTGTTCAAAATGTCACTTTTATCTTTCTCACTGAGACCTGAGTCTGAATGTTTAAGTGAATATATCTAATGTTGTTCAACACAGACACAGACATACACACACACACACACACACACATGCACGCATGCACCCCTCCTGACAAATATAGAGGTGTCCAGATGTGTCAAAAATGCCTTTGCATTGATGAGTAAAATGACTGAGATATGGCATCTTAACAGAGAGTATAATTGGAAATGCAGTCAGTTTCTTCAAGAAAAGTACTTAGCTCCATCAAAATATTTAATTTCTTTCCTATATCCTTAATATGAACCACTGAAGAAAATTGGTGAGATCTAGTGTTTGTCCAAAACTGTTGGGAAACTGGTCACCCACCTTATTCAGTAAACCTGATTCCGAATGAAGATTGACCATTAAAAACATCAAAAATAAAATACAGAAATGATCCCTGAAAATTACCTAAACTGAAAGAAAACACACATCAATACCACAGTAGGTGTTTAAAAGCATCTGACTTGAAAGCACTCAGAACTGGATCCTCCAGTCCTGAAATCAAGACTCATCACCTTTCTTGTAGTTAATCAGGTAGTCTTTCTTCCCCACTGGCCTCTAATTTTTTTTGAGGCAAAGACTGTCTCTTTTGATTAATGCTCTGTATCCAATGTCTAGCAGAGCATCTGGCACAGGGCAAAATATCTGTTGAATAAATGTTGATAAAGAAGTTCCCAAAATATTCAAGAAATAGGAAGTATAAAATAGCAGCTAGCTTCCTAACAACTCTTAAAAAGTTGCCATCTGAATGCACATGTGTAGTATGTTATTTTTAACTAAGCTCATTAATTTATAGTTATGTTGTAGATGATTTGAGATGCATGTTTTGATTGGCACTAAGTTGGTTGATTCTAAGGTCAAAATATGATTTCTGCTTGAGCAGAGGGTTCATTTTGGAAAATAATAATTCATGTCTGTAAATGCTTTAGTAGTTATCCCACTATATGCAGTGTATTTGTATGGTTGTAAACTCAAGATTATATCCATAGGGAAATCATGGCTTGTTATTGATTATAGTCCCTTTTTACTCTGGTCCCTCACATTCCTCTCCCAATCCTATTTCCTGTACTAATCTTATCTTCAATCTCTTTATTTGTCCCCTCCAGCTCTCTTTTTAACTTTGACTAAATTTTCTCCTCAGTGTTCTTTTTGTTTTCCATTATAAAATGATTCAAGATCATTTGTTTTTTTTTTTTTTACATAATTTATTTTAAAATAACAGAAGCCACTTGCTTTGAATGAAAATGGGAGTGGGACAGCAGGAAGAACTATTCCTGTTGTTCCCTGTTGTAACCCTGAACTCGTTCTTTGTTCACAGAAATGCTGTTAAATGTGGCACTTTTTCTAAAAATTTTTCATATTCTAGAGAAAGCTGGATGTGTTGGATAGGGCTTATATGGATTGTCCCCAATGAAAAACATATCTTTATTTTCAGAGGTGGACAGATTCACAACTTTAAACTGCCTTAAGAAGAAACTAGTCCACACCTGACTTTTGACAGGTATTTCCCATATCACACTATTAAGATTTTTCAGTTTCATACATACACAAATTGGTAAGGGTAGTTTCAGGGAGCGCAAATCCATAGATAATTAAATATTCACTTGAATGCTTATAAGTAACAAATAAAAACATTTTTACATTCCCAACCCCTGAGCCTATATTTTGATAATATTCTTACCCTCATGGTAGATCATAATGTGAATACCTACTATATCATTGAAAATATATACCAGACCTAATATGCATTTTGATCAAATATATACTAGACCTACTGCATTTTTATCATCTATAATTAATTTTAGGCCTTCCAGTGCACTTATTCAATTGGCCTTTTACCCAATATTTACATGAAAAATCATGCCATTTTTTGCAGGGCTTGGCTCATAGCTATTAACTATTTCTAAAACTATATGAGCTTAGGATTCCTATCTCTGTATTCAGATGAGGAAATTAAGATGGGATAAGTAGCTAAACTGATGTTGTATGGTAAATAACAAAATCGGTTTGGTCTGGGGTCTAGTCTGAGTCTTCAGCACAGATGATTAGTTGTTGCATTAGAATGATGCACTGGTAATGGTGGATAACAACCCCCAAGTCAAGACCATGCCTTGACTTCTTAGCAGAAAATAGCATTCTGGAAACCAAGAGTATTGCAATTCACTCCTTCCTTTTAGTGACCAGTTCCATTCTTTGAGTCAGACCAGGATGGTGCTCTTTGCTGTATTTTATAATGTCCAACAATGTCAGCCCATTTCTTTATGTCATTTGTTTTGAAAGAAGAAAGTGATATGTTTTTCATTATAGCGAATTATTTCACTCTTTGTAAGGCAGAGCAAGAGAAAAGAGCAAGAAAGGGAACATGAAATTTCATTGGAGATGAAGAAATCAATGACAATGATTCATGTAAAATTTTATATAAGTAAATGTGTGGTTATAAAGAAGTAGAGTGTAATGAAAACATTAGAAATAGCTTCACAAATACTAAACAGAAATTTTATGTTCCTGCACCTTCTCTGCCAGGTCCAGGCCACTGGCTTATTATATCAGAATATCCTTTCTCCCCCTTTAAAGGAAAAATAATAGAAATAAAAAGAACAACTCAGCTTGAAGAAGAGAAAAAAGTGAGAATAACATATTGGGAACAGAAACTGCAGTCTAACTAGTGCCTCCCCACCTTCATTACCATCCTTCCAAATAAATCTCCCTGCTCCTCTTGAGCTGGCAAATAAAAAAATCAACCCACAAGATATATGTTTGTGCTTCTCCTGATGAGTATCCCCATCCATCTACAGTACGTCCCACGTGCCAGTTTGAAGATGGGCTAGAGGGAGAATTAAAGACTTCAGAAAGTCCACAGCATAATCAAGAAAGCTTTTTTCTTCTGACTACACAGCTTTCCTCTCTGTCTTGTGTGATTTTCTCCCCGTCTCCTTCACTCTGTAGCACAGATGTTGATGCTGACAGGACAGTAACTGATCATAGACCTAAGCTTCCGGAGCAACCGATTGCTTTTAAATATATGGCACAAAGACTTTGGGTAAATTTCATCTTGGCAAGGACTGTTGGTTCAAATATATCCAGATTGGGATCCCAAATTTTGTGATTTTAAACAAAGATGTCTGATTTCAAATGCATTATTTAGAAATTTCAAATAAATACCTTTTAAAATATAGGGGGCTGACATATCAGTTTGTGATAAAGTTTCAGTAAAAATACTAAATATATTAATTTATCTGAAATAGTGGGATATTTTTCTTTGTGTTTAATCTTGATACAAGTAACCCTACTCTAGAAGGTGATGTTTTTCATGATTTGAAGTTTGATGACCTGTGGTAAGATACCTCTGAAATTATTTTTATCACTTCCTACATCTGCTGGAACTTTTCTTGAAATTCATACCCCTGTCTGAGTACTTCAGAGTTTCAGGAATTACTGTCCTACTCAAGAAAGCATGGTTCATTTGGAATATTTCTAATTATTTAAAAGTTCTTAGTAGTAGGGAATGTGTGACTTCACTCACTGCTACTCATTTGGTGCCTTAGAAAAAAGTTGCTTTGCTTTTTGGGGGGCGGCTGTTGTTCAAGCATTTGGAAAAAACACCACAACTCATGTAGATTTCCTTTCTCTATGTGAAACACCCTTAGATTCCAGAACTTGTCCACTAGACGTTTGTAGCGCTACCTCTCCATGCTAGACAGTGCCTGTTACAATTCTCATTTCTATGGACCTACATTCAGCATCCTCCACAAGTCTCTCCAGCCACTCCCTGTTACATTTGAAGTGGAATGCAAGTGTAAACCTATGTACTCCTTGGTATTTTGCTTTTAATATGATACAGTTCAGTGAAGATGAAGATGGAGAATGAATAAAAGTTCTTTAATAATTGGAATATGCTTTCGTTTGGGTACCAGTCCAACGTTGATGTCACTGTTTCCACTACTGAAAATTAAATTAAGGAATTACACAGGATGTCAACTGTGCCCTTGATAATGCAACTTCTATTAAAAAGAACTTTCTGAGGAGATCATTGGACCCAAAATAATCTGTATTTAGCAAGATTCTCAGTGCTAGATTGTTAAAGAACAAAGCAATAAAAGTGAGTGGCTAAATGATATCTATTAAACATTATGTCAGAGCTTTGGCTTGGCTACTTTA